ATAACCAGGCAAAGATATTACCAAAAAAGAAAACTGTTGTTGTCTGTTGTTGTTATGTGCCGTTGAGTTGCTTGCAACTCATAGCAACCCTATGTACAACAGCCCTAAATTCTGCTCTGTCCTGTGCCAATCGCACTGTCTCTGACACACCCATCCTGATTACCCCAGTCACTGAATCAATCCACCTCATCGAGGGGCTTCCTCTCCTGCGCTGTCCCTCCACCCTCCCAAGCATGATGTCCTTCTCCAAGGACTGTTCCCTCCTTACAACATGTCCAAAGTATGTTAGACAAAGCCTCAGAATCCTTGCCTCTAAGGAGCAGCCTGGTTTAACCATTTACAGGATGAATCTGTTTGTTTTCCTAGCAATCCATGGTACCCTCAATACTCCAGCATACAGCTCAAAAGCATCAATTCTCCTTCGATCCTCCTTAGTCACTGTCCAACTTTCTGATGTATAACAAGTGATTGAAAAGACCATGGCCTGTATAAGATGCACCTTAGTCTCCAGAGAGACACCATTGCTCTTCAGAACTTTGGAAAGGTCCCTAACAGCAGACTTTCCCATGGCAATACGTCTTTTAAATTCTTGGCTACTGGTGTCGAGAGTGTTGACTGTGGAGCCAAGCAAACTAAAGCTGCGAACAATTTCAATCTCTTCACCATCCATCCTGATGCTGCCAATTGGTCCAGTGGTGAGAATCTTTCTTCTTGACATTGAGCCTCAATCCATATTGAAGTCTACAGTCATTGACCCTCTGTAGCAAGCGCTTCAGGTCCTCCTCAGTTTCAGAAAGCAGGGTTGTGTCATCTGCATAACGCAGATTGTTGATAGATCTTCCACCAATCCTGATACCACATTCCTCCTCCTAGAGCCCACCTGTTCTGCATACAGGTTGAAAAGGTATGGAGACCGGACACATCCCTGGCGTACACCCTTCCCAATTTTGAACCATGCAATGTTTCCTTGCTCTGTTCTGACGACTGCCTCTAGGTCCAAGTATAGGTTTCACATTAGTATGATCAAGTGTTCTGGGATTCCCATTCTTCTCAGAGGCAGCCACAGTTTGTTATTGTCCACACAGTCAAATGCCTTTGCATAGTCAATGAAACCAATATCTCTCATGAACATAGATGCAAAAATCGTCAACAAAATTCTAGTCAATCCAAAAGCACATTTGAAAAAAAAAAGCATTATGACCAAGTGGGATTCATAGCAGATATGCAAGGATGGAACAACAGAATAAAAATAATCAACATAATTCATCACATTAACAAAACAAATAACAAGAACCATGTGATTCTAACAATTCATACGGAAAAGGCAATCTAACACTTTTTTTCTGATTAAGACACTCAGCAAAATTGGAATAGAAGGGAAATTCCTCAACATAATAAAAAGTATACAGCAAACCCAAGAACCATTAACATTCTCAATGTTAAAAGCATTTACTTTGAGAATAGGGACCAGACAAAAATGCCCAATGTCACCACTTTCATTTAACATTGTATTGGAAGTGCTTGCCAGGGCAACATGACAAGAGAAGGAAATAAAAGGCATCCAGATTGACTAAGAGATGGTTACATGATCACTATATGTAGATAATATGACAGTGTACACAGAAAATCCCAAGGACTTAACCAAAAAATTCTTAGAGATGATAGACCAATTTAGTAGAGTGGCAGGATATAAGAGCAATATCCAAAAATCAGTTGGATTCCTCTATTGTAACGAAGAGAACTCAGAGAAGGAAATCAAGAAAGCAATGCCATTTACAATAGCCAACCACAAATTGAGATACTTGGGAGTGAACCTAATTAGAGATACAAAAGATCTATACAAAGAAAACTACAGAATATTTCTGCAAGATGCAATAAAAGACCTAAATTAATGGGAAAACATTTCCTGTTCATGGATAGGAAGACTCCATATAGTGAAAATGACAATCCTACCAAAAGCAATCTACATGTTTAAGGCAATTTCAATACAGATAACAAATTCATTTTTCAAGAAGATTGAAAGGGAAATTGTCAAGTTTATTTGGAGAGGAAAGAGACTCCAAATAAGCAAAGCACTTGTGAAAAGCAAAAATTAAATTGGAGGCATAGCACTCCCTGACCTCAAAACCTACGACACAGCAGTAGTAACCAAAACTGTATAGTACGGGTACAATGACAGGCACATACATCAATGGAACAGAATTGAGAATCCAGAAATGGACCTATCTCTTCTATGGTCAACTGATATTCAGCAAGGAAATAAAACCTATCAAATGAGGAAATGACAACCTCTTCGACAAACAGTGCTGGCAAAACTAAACTGCTAATTGCAGAAAGGTGAAACAGGTTCCACATCTCACATCAATATACAGAAATCAACTCAAGGGGGATCAGAGACCTGGGAATAAAGCCCAAAACTACAAAATTCATAACAGATAAACTGGGATTAAGCTTAGGAAGCCTAGTCTATAGTATAAAGAGACTGCCAAATACAGCCCAAAATGCATCATCTGAAAAGGATAAAATTGATGAATGAGACCTTCTAAAGATTAAATCTCTGCTCATCAAAAACTTTTCTCAACAGAGTGAAAAGAAAACCTACTGACTGGGAACAAGCATAGGGCAATACTATCTCAGAAAAGGGTCTTACAATAAAAGTTAACAGCATACTCCTGGTGATGCAGAAGAAGACTGATAATGCAATTACAAAATCAGCAAAGGACATGGAAAGACTTTTCACAGAGGAAGACAGCCATCAAACATGCGAAGAAATGCTCAAAAATCAAAGGTAATAAGAGAGATGCAAATCAAAACCACAATAAAATTCTATCTTACCCCAGCAGCAGTGGCAAAGTTTAGCAGAACAGCAAATGATAAATTTTGAAGAGGATGTGGAGAGATGACAATATTCATACACTGTCGGTGGGATTGTAAAATGGTACATGCAACTCTGGAAGACAGTTTAGTGTTTCCTCAAAACGCTGAACAAAGAAACTCCCTATTCCACTACTAGGAATAAACCCAAGGAAATTAGAACAGAGACATAAAGGGGGATTTGTACACCAATGTTCATAGCAGCGTTACTCTGCATTGCAAGATCACTGAAACAGCCCAAATGTCCAACTACAACTGAATGGATTGAGAAATTGTGCTACATTCACACAATGGAATACTATGCAGCATTTAGGAGTAATAATTTAGAAACTTTTCAACACTCTTGGTACCAGCAGTCAGGAAATTAAAAGACAAATTTCATTGGGAAAGTCTCCTGTCAGAGAGCTCTCAAAAGTACTTAAGAGCAATGATGTCAGTCTGGAGACTAAGGTGTGCCCATACTTGCTATGCATCAGAAAGCTGGACAATGACTAGGGATGATTAAAGAATTGATGTCTTCAAGCTGTGGTACTGGAGAAGAGTACTGAAGATACCATGGGCTGCTAGGAGACCAAACAGGCTAGTACTAGAGAGGGTGAAACTAGGCAACGATTTTGAAGCTTCATCTCACAAACTCTGGACATGTTGCAAGGAGGGATCAGCCCTTGGAGAGGGTCGTCATTCTTGAGAGGGTGGAGGGACAGAGCAAGAGAGGAAAGTCCAATGGTGATTGATTTTATAAAACATACTGCATGGCAATGACTGTATAAAATACAATATGAATGGAGAATAGGTTGAAACAAAATGTATATGAACTTTGTGAGCAAAGTAATATAAAAAAAACCCCAAACAATGAAAAAAAAGGGAACTGAGGGGTACAGGGAAGAAAATGTGCAACAGCGAATCAATCAAAAATCTAACTTTTCTGTACATGTTTGTTAAAATCACAATAAAATAAAGTGAACTGGGCGAGGGAAATGGAGAGAGAGGGGCTAAAATGTGTAACAATGAATAAAAATCTATCTTTTCTGTAAAGTTTTATTAAAATCACAATTAAAATGAAAATTTTATTAAAGAGAAACAAAAAGAACTACTACCAGGAAGCAGGCTCAACCTGGGAGAGTCCAGACCTGAAGTGGATCCTTTCAGTTTCAGGATGCTTCCCTATGACTCCTTGTGTCCCCAGTTCTGGGGTCACTATTGGTGTATAGAGGTAGTGTGGGACTGCCAAGAGGCACTGGACCTTGAGCGAGCAGAAGTAAAGGGTCTCTAAGCTCAGCTGATTCCCAGGGAAATGATTCGTTTTCATTGTTGCCATGGCGCTCAAAGGGAGGAGAAGGAGAATGAAACTTCAAGTAGGAGGGCACCCACATCTCTCAGGTCACCCAGAGGAGAGGTCCAGCCTGAAGTAGGGATGCTGACCCAGGGGGGAAGCGGAGGGGTGGCCAAGATGTTGAAGTGAGGGGTGTCCTGAGGGCAGGACAAGGGCAGGGTCTGCTCATCCCAAAAGACAAACCCAGAAGAGGTAAACCATCACTTCAGGCAGCAACATGGGGTAAGGACAGTGGCATTTCACCGGATGGCACTCAAAAACAACAACACAGAGCTCTGTTGGCCTAGTGGACAGAAAGTGATGCTACCAAGCCAAAAAGGGTGATTTTAATCTATAGCCCTCAGGTCTGGATTCAATTGTTCTTGGTCAAACATTTTTCTAAGCGGTATAGCACTGGTCTGTCCATATGCTGTACAGAGGTTGCTGTGATGCTAAACACAGTGACACTGATGTGTCAAATGTGATAATGGTTACCTGTGGTGGACAGTGTTTGGTGGAGGTCCCCGATTAAAGCAAGCTTGGAAGCAGGAGTGGCATCCACTCCCAAAACAGTTTGCATTCAGAAACTCTATGAACTTGGAGAAATGATGAAAGTTATACAAGTGTTCAGGTCTTTCCTTCATAGGGTCTTTGTGAGTCGTCTACGACTCACCAGCACTCAATAACAGGAACAACAACAACAACAACAAAACCACCACCACTACCCCCGCACACACATACTGCATCTTTGCTATAATGAGCTAAGTAGCAAACTATTCTTCACAGATTCTCCTAAAGCAACTGTTTAGTGTACCTTTGGTATTCCAGAACTCTCCAACCAGTCTTGTAGGATGTTTTCGACAGACAGCTCAAGCCTTAAAAAAAAAATTTAGAAGTCATGGAGTAATTATTACACAGAAAAACATATTCTCAGCATAAATCTTTCAAGAAATATCTATGTTTTGGGAAAAAGAACTATAACCTCTAGATTCAAGTGTGGAAGAGAAACCGAGAATATTAACGCTAACTTTTCTTCAGTTATACACAATAAAATTTTAAAAATCAGTAACTTATTTCATGTGTTTTTAGTGCATTGCAAGAAAATTTTTAGCAGGACAGTAAAACCAGAAAAAATTGAGCATGTTTATATGCGGTTGTTGTTGAGTGCTGTGGACTTGTAGTTGATTCTCCCATGAGTTTTCAAGGACAGTAAATAGCACAGATGTTTATCCTTCTCCCATGGAACATCTGATGGATTCAAACTATGTGGACTGGCAGGTAGGACAACCCCTTACCACTTGGCCACTAAGCTCCTTTATATTTATGGCATCAAAATGAAACCTGAACATGACAACATTTAGTGCTTGTACAGTTTATTTGAACTTTATAGAACTTTGTAGTTTCCAAAGGAGTCAGAAAAAAGCAAAAAATAATATAAATAAGTATGGCTACAGAGAGTAACTGAGATAGATGCTACAAGCATAGCTTCTGTAACTGCTGTTTGAAAGCTGGTCCATAGGTGGCTGAAGTGTTATGAATGCTTCTACATCTGATTCTTACAAAGAAATTCTTGGTTTCTTGCCCCACTGACTTGGATACTTCTTGAAATTACTAAGTTTCTAATACACTTACAGACATAATAGTGACATTAGAGTGTATCATCCTGCCTGCCTTTACTAATCAAGTGAGCAGCTTTCTCTCATTCATTGGCTTCTCCTGAGTTATAATGTACATACCTGAATGTCCACTACAGAAATGCCATCTTTGATTCCTTTCCAGGTTAACACAGGGCTTCGCTGTGTGCAGGACACAATTACCATCTTTGTTTTTCTTAAAAGCATTAATATATTTTTTATTTCTACACTTTTAAAAATGTTTTATTGGTTCACGTAGAATCATTCATATACACTGAATTTCACCCATGTACGTTGTTTTATACAGTCATTCATATTGTTGTTAGTTGCCATGGAGTCAGGTACAATTTGATAGTAATCCTATGAACAATCGATCTGAACACTATCATCTTGTGCGATCCTCACAATGTGTGACACTCGAGCCCATCATTACATTCACCATGCCAACACACTTGGTTGATTATTCCTCTCTTTTAAAATTTTATTTTATATAATGAATTACTATTGGTTTACGTTGAAAAGGTATGGAGACAGGACACATTCCTGGCGTACACCTTTCCCAATTTTGAACCATGCAGTGTTGC